TTACCAAAATTCTTCTTTTAAATGAGTACTTGTCCACTGCTCTAGCCATAGAAAATAAAAGACCACGGGGCGCCTGGGTGGCTCAGTCAGTTAAGCAGCCGACTTCGGCTCAGGTCATGATCTCACGGTCCGTGAGTTCGAGCCCCGCGTTGGGCTCTGTGCTGACATCTCAGAGCCTGGAGCCCGTTTCAGATTCTGTGTCTCCCTCTCTCTCTGCCCCTCCCCTGTTCATGCTCTGTCTCTCTCTGTCTCAAAAATAAATAAACATTAAAAAAAAAAATTAAAAAAAAAGAAAAGAAAAGACCATAACCATGACAAGTTATTTAATACTGATATTGAACTATTCCTGTAAATCATACATGCTAGAAAGAATCTTTATTTTTTCAATTTCCCTCATTGACTTTTTTCCCTAATATTAAAAGCATATATATCTTCATTTTTTAAGCTGATGAGAATCTATTGTTTTATTTAAACCCCATTTTAGGGTTTCTGGGACTCAGAGAGGATAATTGATTTGTCTAAAATAACATAGCTAATGTATAGAGCATAGTATGGTTAAGATGTGATGTTTCTGGTCCCCTAACCCATTATTTTCTATATGGGTCATTTTCTGTATTTTCAAATATTTCCCATTAATCCCTAGGGTCTTTTGGGATGCTTGGGTGGCTCATTCGCTTAAGTGCCCAGCTCTTGATTTTGGCTCACATCATGATCTCATGGTCTATGAGACCAAGCCCCTGTTGGGCTCTGTGCTGTTGGGATTCTCTCTCTTCCTCTCTATCTGCTCCTCCCCCACTCTCACACATGTGTGCAGTGTGCATACTCTCTCTCCCTCCCTTTCTCTCTCCCAAAGTAAATAAATAAACATTAAAAAAAATCCCTATGGTCTTTTGCCATTCAGAACATACAGATCTTTGCTGACTACTTCTAATCGAGTCATTGCTCACATCTCTTTAGATATTACTTGGCTTTCCTTGTTGATTCCCACCACTGCCTGGTGTCATGCACAAACAATACAATGTGTTGTTTTCTACTATGCAAGTCAATTGAAAAAGCCACAGAGCCCAAGACCAGCTGCCAAATTGCCCAAGTGAATATTAGCATATTAATAATAGTTCTTTGAAGGCTGGATTTTAGTGTGATTTATTTGATCCCAACAAACTATGTGATCTAAAAGTTTATTTTCTTCTACAGATGAGATATAATTCATTCGGGTCCTCTTTCAACTCAACATAGGATCAGAAAACTGTAAAAACTGTTTCAAGTAAAAACAGACTTTACCTAATGTTTCCCCTTGATATCAGTAAACCTGCATAATTGTCTAAGATTTGATTAGCCAGGTGGGAATCATCTTTCCAAAAGAAATCTAGTTGTTATCCAATTGCTAGCTTTATTCAAGAGAGAAAGCATATAGGTCATCTTGTTTGGTCCTTTTTTATATGCCCTCAAGCCTTTTTATTTGGACTAATTTGTAGTAATTAATATGTTTGCACCCTCTGAGATTAACCCTCTGAGATTACTCAGAGCATTTCAGAATTTTGGCAAGTATTTCTTTAAATGTGTTTATTTTTCTTTCGTTTTTGTTTTGTTTCTGATAGAAAAAAGGCAGGGGAGAGAAGACCAGTGGATCGTGTCAGTTTCAGACCAGCATTTAGATAGTATTGAAGGGCAATAAAGTAAAAGTGTTGTACTGGATATGTGTTCAAGAACACTGATCTTATAGTGGGGCGGTGCGGGGGCTGGGGTGGGGGACATGAGGTGTTCTTCTTACATACAAATTCTTGAATAATCTGTTTTTTATTGAAACCAATTGGGACTAAGAGTCTAAGTTTGGGAACAATTATCACTTTTGCCAATCAGCATTTTTTTCTGCTTCCCCAAACTCAATTTCTTGAGTTTTACCGTTTTTGGCATCTTCCCGTTTATCCCTTTTCTACCTGATATCAAACTGTGCTTGATTTGTTTCAGCTGCCTCTTTTTAGAAAAGATTAATTATAAGGACTTTGGGAATCAAAATATTACCTGTTTGAGTAATATTGGCACATTTGAAAAGATGCTTTTAAGAAGAGAAAGATTTGACCCAAGGAACAGAATTGCAAATCATTGAATTTTAGACGTGACAATGCAGAGGGGACAACCAGGGAATAGTGGCATTGGAAGGAACAGGACTAGAGGAATCTTCTCAGTGTACCAACATTTGTGCTTTATAACATTTGGCTGATTCTTTCTCCTCCTGTATACCTGAATAGATTGAATTTAAAATGTTGAGAACTATTCTATTGTTTGTTTTGTTTTGTTTTTTAAAAGTTATTTATTTATTTATTTATTTATTTATTTATTTGAGACAGAAACAGACGGGGGGGGAGGGGGAGAGAGAGAGAGAGAGAGAGAGAGAGAGAGAGAGAGAGAGACAGACCCAAGCAGGCTCCACACTGTCAGCACAGAGGCCAATGTGAGAACATGACCTGAACCAAAATCAAGAGTCAGAGACTGAACCAACTGAGCCACCCAGGCACCCCTTTTAAGAACTATTTTTAAATTCAACTCATTCTTCTGATGTTTCAGTATATGACCTAGACTCCTAGCCACATAATGATTTATATGTATCTCTATACATAAGAGCGGAATATAAACTTTTCTTTACTATAGGATCAATTTTCATATGGAATTATATGGTAATTATTTGCCATGTAACCACTGTGTTTTTATATAGTGCTACATATTTACCATATAACCACTTAGGTTTTGTAATATCCCCCTTACCTCAGTTCCTTAAAGTCTTCTGAATTCATTGTCAGTGAGGGTTTTTAAAATGTGCCAGTGTTACCATTTTGATGTACATCCTATTTTAAGGTGTTTTAATTAAAGGCACACCACACATTCTCCAGTTTCTCTAGTCATGTCTCATTTTCCTGTTCACATGTCTGGGAATCGGCTATGCAAAGGGTCACAAAAACAAGACAGTTTACCCTGTTAACTTCCACTCTCTGCCACTGACATGCTCTTGAGAAATATTGTAAATTCCATTTTGGGTAACTAATTACATAATTTTATTATACTGCATGTTCTAGTGGTAGATGGTTAGAGGTTACTTACTGTAAAAACTGATGGTAACTTTCCTACCCATCATTTGCTAATTTTAGCCTCTTCGTAAGATGGCACAAGATTCTTAGCCCAACTTAGAAAATTTGAAGTCACTTAACATTTCATCCTTTTTCTACTCCGATTGCCTTCACTTTGCTTTTTCTTCTTAAAAGACTTTGCTTCAGAATGGAAAACTCTGTCTAAACTATATAGCATTATTACCTTATACACCATTAAATCAAAACCTGAGAGGTGATCCATGCCTAGTACATTCCCCAAAGATAGTACAGTAAAGTCTTCATTGACTGCAGACTATCAGATCATGCTGATGGAATGTGGGGTTTGTTTTTTTTTTTTTTAATGTAACTGTCTTCTATTTTAATGGCTACATTTACTATGAACGGTCTGTTTAGCTGGTGTCCTTGGCGCCCCTGTTCTCAGCTGAATATATACAGCAGACTGTCTCAGCAAAAGAAATCCAGAACATAGAAATTAGCTGAAAATGCCAATTTCACACATATTGGATCAGGTTCTACATTTTTAAATATATAATTTATCTCAACTTAGAACTATATAATCCTGTAGAACTAGAGTTGATACCAACTATTTTGTTTCCAATCTCCTTGCTGTGTTTGTACTAATTGACAATTAAAAATATTATTTCTACTAAGTCATGTACAGCCTTTGATGAATAGGAGCTCCAAGGCCACTAACTTGAAAGAATTTTTCTCTAGTATGTATAAATGTAATACTGTGAGAGATGTTGTAGAGATAAAGCATGTACTACATTAAGAATTTGAATACCCTAATGGTTGTTGGTGGGAACATTAGTTGGACCCTTTACCTATAATACAATTGTCTTAAATAGTTGATTATTTATTGTGTCAATAGCTGTTATGCAGTATACGGGTTCATTTGAACAGTTCATGACTGTGTTCCTCAGAAAATGAGGTAAATAATTATAAATAAACCTGACCAAATTTTATGAAATCCAATAGATGCTTTCCTTAAAACTGTTTTGGAACCAAATCATCCTCAGAGCAATGACGGAAAGTGCTAGAAAAGTTGTAAACCTTTCATTGTATGCTTTTTCTTTTCATAAAATCACCCAATTCCTTAATTGGAAGTAGTTTAGTATTTCATGTGGTTTAGATTAAGCATTATATTTTCCTTGACAATAATTTTGTTTGTAATGCCATGTTCTCCATGAATTCAAATCATGCACTGCATGCTTTTAAATGACTTGATGTCTTTGCAGATCTAATTTTGGTGTATTTGTATCTCAAATAATTCGCCAACTCAATATTTTGGCTTAGCAATCCAAATCAAATTGTGGTCCAAGTAGCAGGCACTCACATTGAATGTACAGAGACTTGACAAGCAATTAGCAATGAATATTTAAACGTCTTCATTACCCTTGCATGAGGAATGCAGATGGCATTTAGGGAGATGGCAACCAGAGGGCACTACTGTGAATTATGTTTCTATCAGTTGGTCACCTGACTATTGGAAGACTTTCTCTGGGCCCCATGCCACTCCTATACTTCTACTGTCTGGCTAAAAATAGAGCGTTCCAAATGGTGCAAAACAGGTTGCTTTTCATGAAATTACTCTGCACATTTTACCATTCAGGAAGATTGTCTCCAGGGATCCCAGCATATACCCTTTAGGCATACCAAACCCAAATGCCAAGACTATCTAGGGGATTCTAAGAATCAGAGTTCCTTCAAAAACCCTGCTCATCATTTGCTTCAGTTATCTCAGCAGAATGTGCTGAATGTGCAAAGGTGAATAAATCAATATCCCGTCCCTCCCAGGAGTTAATGTATTATATATGGCCCAAGAAAAAAATGTCTTTGAATAATTATAATTTCCAGACTGAGCTCTCATTATAAATTTCTTTTTTTTTTTTTAAGGAAAAAACAACACTGGAGAGTCTGACTCAGCAACTGGCAGTTAAACAGAATGAAGAAGGAAAATTTAGCCATGCCATGATGGATTTCAATATGAGTGGAGATTCTGATGGTTTGTGAAAATTATTCATATATATACCAATAGTGTGCAGAAGTGTCTATTTAGCGTCAATTAAAACTACTAAAAAGTATGTAAGACAGCCGCCTAATACCTGATCGTTACAATAAGAGCTCATGTGTACTGAACAGTTCCCATGTGCCAAACAATCTGCTGAGTGTTCTGCACAAATCATCTCATTAATTTCTAGCACAACCTGTGAAGTAAATACTATTACAAATAAAGAGATTGGCCCCTGGGAATTTTGAATCATTTTTTCCCCCAACATAACAAGGCTGTAAGTACCAGAGGCAGATCCTGGATTCAAGATGGCACAATTCTATTTTTTTTATTTTTATGTTTTTTAACATTTTATTTATTTTTGAGACAGGGAGAGACAGAGCATGAACGGGGAGGGTCAGAGAGAGGGAGACACAGAATCCAAAATAGGCTCCAGGCTCTGAGCTGGCAGCACAGAGCCCGACGCGGGGCTCAAACTCACGGACCGGACCGTGAGATCATGACCTGAGCCGAAGTTGGCCGCTTAACTGACCGAGCCACCCAGGCGCCCCCAAGATGGCACAATTCTAAAGCAAATACTCACAGTCACTGTCTAATCTATCTCTCACTTCCCTATTTCTTTTCAGCAAACTTTTCAGAAATTTATATCTATCTGCTCATTTTCAAGTTGTCATTTGTAAGATTCTGACCAGAATACAAGGTTCAGTGGACATCTTCAGGATTTTCTTTCTTTTTTTTTTTTTTTTTTTTTTTTTTTTTTTTTTTTTTTTCATTTTGAAACACTTCCCTCTTATACTGTCTATTGTACAGTCCGGTGTCATCCCTACCCTTCATAACCCAACTAGAACGCCAGCTACACAGCCTCATGCTTTCCTCACATGCCTTCTTGTTGTCTGCATCATTTCCGAACATTCTAAAATCCAAAATGACAACTAATGAAATTGATACCCTAATTTTAATCGCACAGCAAAGAAAGAAAAAGAAGAAAGTGTTATTCCTCTCACCTTGAGCCCCAGCTAGGAACTTCTCTCCACTGTCAAGTACCAAACACACATTTTAAGAGCACTGTCCTCAAATGTGTTACTATTGAAGAGGAAGTTCCCTGCATGTAGAAAAGTCTGCACCAGAGCAAACCATTAGGAAGCATACTTTAGGACAGAGGGGATTGCCTTGAATTCCCCAACATACTTAGTTGTCTCCTCTGTACCTTGGTCCCCAATTCTGCTTTTAAGTCCAGTTCTGCACCAGCTACAAAAGTAGCCAAACTTGACCAGGTAGCCAGATAATTTTATCAAAACGAATCTTATTCAATTGGATATCCAACAAAAGTCAGTGTTGTCCTAGCCTGTTGGATCCAATCATTTCCTTCTATTTTCCACATCACTTGGTTAAGATAAACCTAGCCCAAGTACATATAAAGAGCTTGTTTAGCTGTGATGAAGTTACACTATGTTCATTTTATTGCTTATGTTGCTGTAAGGTGTAAGAACAAGAAAAAGCAGATGTGCAAATGATCATTTGCTACTTACAAACCCATTTTAGGAAGATGTTGCCATATATTAGCACTCATTTATGTCAATAAAAAAGACAATGACTGGTAATAAGACATTTCATAAATTTTAAGTTGTACTAGCATGATAAAATATAAGCATAGTAATCAGCATTAAAACATCAACAATTTTGTTGCTGTTATTTGTTAAATTCAGTCATGCTTGTGTATGCAAAATATTTTCCAATCTTCATCAGACCAAAGAGCATACTATGAATGAGAAATAATGAGAAACTCCACCAACAGGTATGCTGTGTTTTTGTTTGCTGCTATAGAGGTCTTCAAGTCTGGGTAATTCTGGTTGATTCCTATTCCTTCTAATTGAGAAAAGAAAGGAAGAGGAGTATGAAGAAAGAAGAAAAAAGCAGTGCTTTGATTAATGATACAAGCTCTAGAAATCCCCAAATTATTTAAACATTTTATATGCTACCAAAATACATCTCTTCCATATTTTCTAAAGATAACCCTGTAATACTTAGTATCACAGTTCTGTGTTTTCTTATGCTTCTCCTGATTTTCTTTGCCTAAACTCAAGTATCTCTGGAAGCTGTTTAGTCTGGTGAAACTATTCTATAAAGTCATGCAAAGCCTGGAGGAATGAATGCAGCTCCCAAAGTTTCTACCCAGACTCAGTCGTGTTCTATTGTCATAAGTCTTGAAGGGAACTTTCAGGGGGTCTCCGGATAAGTTTAGATGTTAGGGAGAAAATTCAGGGGAATGAATTTTTTTTTTCACCTTAAATATGTGGCTGTAGACTTCTTAAGAAACCACAGTTGTGTACCTGTTCATTGTTTTTTCCCTACCATTTTCAAATATCTTCTGGGGAGCAGGCTATCATGGATGCATCAGCATCTTTCATGCATTTATCAGCACAAAATTGCAAAGAAATGCCAAACACATTACAGAAGATTATCTATATTGTATTTTCACCCCAAAGTTTTATTTAGCAGCATTTTATTTCTATAACCTCAGAGAGAGGAAAAGGGCATGACTACTCTGTGTTCTGACCGTCTTTAGGTAGCAGAGACACAACCTCACTTCTAGTCCATTGTGCCAAATGTGCTAGTGTTTTACAATTTTCTTAGGTTCTTCACCCATTTAATATTTACACAGTGCCAGCATGCCTACCGGTATACTCCAACTGTTCTCTTTCCATTTTGCCTCAAAGATCACGTATTCAGGTTTCTCGTGTCCTTTTGAAAGTAAATGGTGAAACAGTCCACAGTCCATTGAAGAAAAAAAAAAAGGAAAAATATATTAGAAATGGAATGAAAATGCAGATACAACAATTGCCACTACAAGGCTTAATCAGAAACTTCATAAACAAGCATCTGTGTCAAGAACTGAAAATACTATTAGCAGATATACTTGTTATATTCATATTTAATATACTAGAATAGATATTTTACAGACAAATATTCGATAGTAATGCAAAGAAGAGAATTGCCAAAAGTCTTAACACTAACATGAAGCAATGTTCCCTATTTTTAGGAAGTGCTGGAGTCTCGGAGTCAAGAATTTATAGAGAATCCAGAGGGCGTGGTAGCAATGAACCCCACATAAAGCGTCCAATGAATGCCTTCATGGTGTGGGCTAAAGATGAGCGAAGGAAAATCCTTCAAGCCTTTCCTGACATGCACAACTCCAACATCAGCAAGATATTGGGTAAGAAACTTATTGATGGTTACATGATGTATGGAATAAATGTACAATTCTGTTTTATGCAGTTGTTGAAAGGTACTGGCTTTGGAGGCCAGGCAGCTCATGTTATCTACTTCTCTAAAAAGAAGCACCATTACTGAGCCTTTTCTTCTGACGACAGAGCACTTCATGTTTGTTGAGAAATGGGCCCAGTTTTTATAGCTAATTTAGTTGTGTACCTCTATATTAACTGTGGCAATATTTTTTCTTCTTTAAAATCTAGAAATTTTTGTACTAAGTTCTTAGTTCTTTTTGTATGAACTACGTAATAATGGTATTGACCGTATTCATTCTTTTCCTTTGAACTACAGAATTCTTCATGTGCTGGGGATAGAAGCATAGGTGATGGTTGTTCTGGTACTATCATTGAAAATCAGTTTAGAATGTCAGAGGACACGAGAACATGTGGTGTGTGCAGTTTTTAATTTACACTTTTAGTAGCCTTGAGCCCATTTTCAGCATCATGTAAAAAGGGACTTTCCCTACCATTGCAGCTTTCAACTTAAGAGATAATAAAGTACATATTTGCCTTACATGCATAGACACTAAAGCACACAGAAAATATGGGCGAGAGGTAAGAGTATTATAAAGAGACTTACTGTATACCAGTTTAAGTCCCAGAAAAAGGAACGAAGATTCCATTTTGTGTGTGCTGTTCACTTGACACCATCATCACTATTATTGTCATCGTCCTCATCTTCGTCACACTCATCTTCCAGATAGCCAGCTATCTGGCTATCTGGAATGAGCTAAGCAAATTTTGACTATTTACTCTCTGACTGCTAGGAGCTAAACAACAAAAACAGAATAGGAATACCTAGCTCGATCAGTAAATTTGGGCTTCAACAAATAAGTGACGTTCCTCTGTGTTACTAAAGCTTTACTAAAATCCATAATGCACTTGGAATTACATGTACTTAACGCAGATAAGTGCTCCTTTTGATCCTTTACATTAAGGAACTGGTCATCTAAAAGTGGTTACTAAACATATACATGTGTTTTTATGCTCCCATATTCTCAAATTCTCATGTTACTGGGTGGTACTGGATGCCATCCAGTTCACAGCATGCATTTGTAGTGAGACCAAAACAAACAAACAAAAAACCATCAACCACTTGAACTTATGTCTCAGTTTTCATCTAAAATGATCTTGAAATCTTTAGATTAATGTCATCTCAAAAGATAAGAGTATGTAAAGCTTTAGGTATATAGAAAATGGGAATATTTATGGAGATATATATATATATGTATATATATATTCAAAAAATTAAACTGATCAAAAGGAAATGCATATTTTTATGCTGCTACCATCTCTGACCTGTTTTTTTCTTTTTATGACCATATTTTACCTTCCATATGAAGTTTTCCATTTTTAAAAAATGTATCTGTTCCATTGGGGAAAACTCTAGAAATGAATAAAATATTCCATATTTTAACATATCAGTTATCACAAAATTAGCCCAAAATGTCAAAATGAAAAAATGAACTAAATACTGAGATTATTTAAACTGTCTTTATATCATTCAATTCATGTGTATGAATACTGGAAAATGTTAATCACGGATTCAAACTTTATCCTAAGTATAAGAGAAATATCAGCTTTGATGATGTGAAATACTTTAGAAGATGTAGGAAAAGACTTTATGGGAAAGAGGTGGCTAGCTACAAGAGTTTCTTTCTGGTTTGAAGGAAAGAATATTAGGATGACCATATAGTTAAATCACAATAGGTTACATGAAAAAAGAGTGCTGTCTAATTTTGGACTTTTCAATAGAATTGTATTAATTAAAGATATCCAGGAAAAAAAACCACTGAGGTGTTTGGGACCTCAATATTTGGTCTTAGCTTCAAATAAATAAGTGATCTTCAAATATCCACAAGATCATTCTAAGTGGCCCATTTCATACAAAAGTACAAAGAAAGCTTGATGTTTTCCTCTCTACTGATTGTTTTGGATAACAGCCTCCGACAGCATGCCGCTAATTCATTCTGCTTAAAACAGGCGCTTGAGCTGGGTTGACATTTTACGTAGTCTCTGGGGATCCTAGTTGACATTTTAAAGGGCTTCTAAGCATTTTATAATACCCTAAAATCTGGTTTTAATAAGCCATTCTGCTGAAATTGTTAACATAAGGAATCACCTTTTACTGTTTGGCGCTAGATCAGGGGATGGGGGACATCTTTTTCTGATTAGATATACAGTAGTTGGAGTAAAATGTGCAAATTCATTACAGACCCCATGGAGATGACGATGCTACTCAGCTCAAACTCTTCATTTTTATCACATCGCCAGATTTAGAAAGGAAAAGAGCACTTTCAAGACTTTTATGACCATCATATTTTTTTTATTGAATCTTCCTTTTTGTCATCAGGAGGAATACCCAAAAGTCCTTCTCCGTTTTTGTTTTTTGTTTTTTTTTTTCA